AGTAACATTAGGACAGTGAGTTTGCCTCAATTATTCAGATTCTATTTCACACAATTTTCCTCAGCACTTCAACTTTACACTTCCATCGCTTTATTGTACAAACAAAAAACAACTGAATATTGTAGACTGTAAGAAACACAAATTCGGTCACCATTATGGATTACAGAAAATCTCCACGTTGACATGGTGATGATTGTGTACAAAAAGAAGGTAACATCGTGCTAACAGATGACTACTCATGTAAGTCAGTGTAAATTAGAATGTAAATAACATTTGTTACCTCCATCCCCACACCAGATATAATAACCAATGCCCGATATAACATCGCCTCCCTTAAGTCCTCCAGGAATCTGAAAAGAAGTAACGGAAGTCTGAGTTAAGATCTGTCAATTCACAACCATTATATCAAAACCAACCAAACATTGAGGCAACGTGTCGTCATTCATATTATCTTATTCAAAGACAACTAATTACACTTACAGTAAGCATACTGATCTCCTCGGTTCCCTAAGAAATATACTCCATCTAATTTACAAAGATATTCTGCCTCACCTCAGTTGACAACTTCAGTGAAGTTAGATGAACGATCTATTTATCATGGAATGAGGCTATACATAGTAAGATGAATATCGACGTCCGTTGGTAGAAGTGTGATTGTGAATAACTGCAATGTCGCTGAACGTGGATTTGTTGTTCTGTTGTGGACTTGTGTTTATGTGCCTACTTATATCAATTGCCGTTCATTTCTCAACAGTATTCATTCCACAATTTGTTCTGATTACCTCGAAACAAACAAGACGGATTCAGTTTAACAATCATAAAATTTATCATCTCACCAGCCATTTTTAGTCATCCAGTATTTATTGTATTACAAATCGACAAAGTTCTAATTAGTGACATTCGAACAAATACGATGAGAGAAGCGATCAAGATTTTAACACCATCTCTCTCATAATATTCAATTATGAACTTTTCTAACAATTGGTCTTTGGAAGTCTGAAAATAACCGTTCACGTACAGAACTCTGACATACACTCTTTGTCGTTAATTGGCTCGTAGGTATCAGAATTTGGTTACACATTACATCACTTCTCATTATTTCATAAAAAGTGCTAGAATAAACTGTGTCATGAACGGATTATGAGTAGTTTCATAAAGTCTGTATGCGCAATACAAATTGCTGGTATCGTTTTATCCCTTTCAATATATTTCGATATATTTGACAGTACTGATATGCATGAAACAATAGAATAATCCATTCATTTGTGCAACTTACGTTCTCATAATAGAGATAAATCTTCCCATTCGAGTGTATCAGGTACATTGCCTTGAATGTATCACCTGCAAAATCGAAAACGATCGATATTTAAAATTTCAAGGATTAGTGTCGAGCATATCATTGCTAGATGTGACACCGTATGTGCCTACACACACAGTGGGATCAGATTTTAGCAAATGTTTACTGTGTTATCTCAAATGTTCTCGTAATGAAAATAATCTCGTGAATGTTGTGTAGATGAAATAAGCATGTATCCTTCATAATGAATGTCAGATGCTTAGTTTGTTTAGTTTTCATATTCAAACAATAAATCATCTAATTTCTAATTGGATCTGATAGTTGTAGTGGTATTCAAATTGGTGGAATATTTCCTTTATTTCAGCTGATACAATCGACTCTAGGCTTAAGTGACAAAAGCTGCTGTTTGTTTGTTTGTTGGTTTATAATCCGAGTTTTTGAATTTATTCATGAAAGAATAAAAGTTAAGAATGATCGTATAATGAATGAATATCTAGATGAATGTGATGTATACAGAAATGATTTTCCGATGAACACATATGTACAGACTTGTCATCATGTTCCTTCGAGACCTGTCAATGAAGATGAATCACTGTATTCGTTTATCTACAAATGAAATATGATAATGACCTTATGTATTTAAATATGTATCGACAATCGATGAATTCTATGTGTATTTCGCCTTTGATTTCGTAGAATGGTTACACTTGAATACTTTCGTCAGTTTTTTTTAAAGATGAATTCAATTGCTCAAATGGAATAGAAAACATTTGAGTAATAACAATCAGTGATGATGATGATGATGATGTAAAGTGTTCATAGTTCACATGGGATCAAACAATCATGGATATGGATACATACTTTTATTATCAATGTTTGTATGACATGACCTTCTGACAGCAAAATATTCCTCTGAAATAATGAAAGTAAAATAAATTTATGTTCATGTATCTGTATAATGAATATTTACCTCTTTCAAAGAACAAAATGTGTTTGAACACAAGTTATGATGTTCCTTTTCAAGATTGAAGTGAACCAATCCAATTAAATGAGAGTGTCAATGATCTGCATCATTATTTCGCCGATATGATGAATACCCTTCATCTTGATATTCTAGGTGTTCTAGTTCGAATCAATCTTGTTGTACTAGCACATTATTCGTGATTGTTGGTTGATTGGATGCTTGAGGTGGTGCATGAGTTCAAACTTCATGATCAACCGATTATGATAATCAAGAGTGTATCCAATAGTTCAACGACATTGAATAAGAGGGACTGAATTTTTAAGAACCAAGTAAGTGACAGATAAATTTGGAGGACACGAAATATAAATTATTGATAGTTCATGTGCTTCAATAATCCAAACTGATTTCTCAAACAACATCGCTCACTAATGCATTTGTGATCAGCTTGATTCGTTCAATCTATCAAGAAGTGTCGTATTGATGAAATATCAGTTTCATGTTAGTTTGAACAGATTGAAGAGTAGATAATTTGCACCTTCGCATTCACATCGTTTGGTTTATTATTTCTACTCAATCAATTTGTGTCTACTTTAAAGTGAATCACTGTTTTATTTAAAATTTTCCCTTCACAGTAATGAAAACATGTTGTGAACACATTTTTGGGGCATGAGATCACACAAATAAAATAATCACTGTGTACTGACCAGCTCTCATGAAACAATCAAGTTAGATGCTGAATCATTTATGCAAAATAAAAATGAGTAATGTAAGACATAAAACAAAAACCGTCACTGAATAATAGAAGAACTCACCCCCATTCAAAGTCTCAGTTTCACACTGAACATTGCCGGAGATAGAATTGAAAATTTGTCTTGAATCGTCTTTTCCATTTAAAAAAATTTTACCTGTGTTTATCAAATGAAAACATGCAATTTGATTAATAATCTACCGTGAATGAATGAAACACTGTGAAATTCACTGGAGACTAAAATGAATCGGATGAACTGTAATTAGTTTACTACAACGGTACAACTTGAACAAAGAAATACATTGGTAGATGTATTGAATGTGAGAAAAAATGCATAAAACTGATCTATGGATGTAATGAAAGTCATATTGATGCATGGAATTGAAATGTGAGTAATCGAAACTTTAATTCGAGGAAAATAATTCTCTTACCAGAAAGATCTATAGCGAATGAGCTGCGATCAGCACCGTAAAATGTAAAGGGGAATTTCAGATGTATTTGCTAGAAATATACAAACATATAGATTATCATCTTCGTTGGAAAATGTCGTACACTCACCTTCGGATTATCCAATTTCTCAAAATTTTCACTAACAATTGGAGGGGATTGATCAAGGCGAATGAACTGGGAATAGTGATAATAATGAGACTGAATATCTGTAATGCAACTTGACTGATCACTTACATATTTATATGTAGCAGTTTGGAAAATTACTTTTCCTTTACTAAGTAAATCAGATTTTTCACAAAATTCATGACAGTCGATAGATTCCGATGTGAGGACAATGATTGAATAGATCGTTACCAACTGACCAAATGAAAATGTAGATCTGAAATGGTTCAAATGAATAGAACAATATGTTATCTCATTAGATCAAATTGAAATGGATATAATACAATCATTTGACTTAAGTGTACAGCGAATACTTACATCATTTTCTTGTTATAGACGTTGATAGAACGAGTTGAGTCTTATATAGAATTTTTTTGAAGTGTTTGTATGTTTCTTTCAAATTGACCATTAGGACGATCAAATTTCATAAAATCATTTCATAATTATTAACCAATCGTCATAGGAGATGAACTCATGGTTATGCCATATTCTTACACGTATTGAGGTTATATAGTCTGATATTGATCCATAGTTGATTGAAATTCCTGACCCCCCCACCTTATTGATGAAAACTATTTTGCATAGGATTACCAATATTTTAAACTAAGTAATTAGTGATCATATTTTCATGAACAAACAAACTAACTGTGAGTTGGTTGTCAACGCTGCATAGTTTTGATTCGATTGGTTGAAATTAAAGTAGCACACACTATTTTCATTAGATGACCAAAATTCACATTTTTATGTTTAAATTTTATTCCAATAAAATGAATTCTTTCACTTGTTTAAATCATGAGTCAATTGAAGCTAGATCACCATGGAAAATCTAGAAGCACTTGACGGCCGTTCCTCAGCAGTGCGCATCCACGATCCCGCCCACCGCGACATCCGCACCCAGGACCTATCAGTTTCGCGCGCGATCGCTTAACCGTTAGGTCACTGAGCAGGCCAGCACCTAACGGTGTTCATGTCTAACTTCAACCAATCCACGAAGTTGCGCCACCGTCACCATTGTCTTCAGTGATTTGATATCTGACAACAGACATGGTTGAACTTCAATGGTGGTGGTTTCTCACTAGAACTCCATGAGTGTCTCATGAAGTCAGTCACTAGTGAGCAAATGATTATTATCAGGAAGGGTTTTGTGCACGCGACGCTGATATGTCCTGAGTTCGAATCTCACGAGATGCGGGATCTTGGATGTGAACTGCTCAGGAGTCCCAGTCTAGGATGAAACAACCGTCCAGTGCTTCCAGGTTTTCCATGGTGGTCTAACATCAATTGATTCATGATTTCAATCAATGGAATGAATAAAAGTCCATAATTTCGTAAACCAATAATCATTTCATTGTGAAACGCCAACAATATTTATGTTCTGATCACATTTGTAAAATAGTAATTCTTGATAATATGAAAGTGAATTGTGCACTTCGAAAACATGATGATGATGTAGCAGTAAAAGTAGTATTTGTAGTAGTAGTAGAAGTAGTAGTAGTAGTAGTAGTAGTAGTAGTAGTAGTAGTAGTAGTAGTAGTAGTAGTAGTAGTAGAAGTAGTAGTAGTAGTAGTAGTAATAGTAGTAGTAGTAGTAGTAGTAGTAATAGTAGTAGTAGTAGTAGTAGTAGTAGTAGTAGTAGTAGAAGTAGTAGTAGTAGTAGTAGTAGTAGTAATAGTAGTAGTAGTAGTAGTAATAGTAGTAGTAGTAGTAGTAGTAGTAGTAGTAGTAATAGTAGTAGTAGTAGTAGTAATAGTAGAAGTAGTAGTAGTAGTAGTAGTAGTAGTAGTAGTAATAGTAGTAGTAGTAGTAGTAGTAGTAGTAGTAGTAGTAGTAGTAGTAGTAGTAGTAGTAGTAGTAGTAGTAGTAGTAGTAGTAGAAGTAGTAGTAGTAGTAGTAGTAGTAGTAATAGTAGTAGTAGTAGTAGTAGTAGTAGTAGTAGTAGTAGTAGTAGTAGTAGTAGTAGTAGTAGTAGTAATAGTAGTAGTAGTAGTAGTAGTAGTAGTAGTAGTAGTAGTAGTAGTAGTAGTAGTAGTAGTAGTAGTAGTAGTAGTAGAAGTAGTAGTAGTAGTAGTAGTAATAGTAGTAGTAGTAGTAGTAGTAGTAGTAGTAATAGTAGTAGTAGTAGTAGTAGTAGTAGTAGTAGTAGAAGTAGTAGTAGTAGTAGTAGTAGTAGTAATAGTAGTAGTAGTAGTAGTAATAGTAGTAGTAGTAGTAGTAATAGTAGAAGTAGTAGTAGTAGTAGTAGTAGTAGTAGTAGTAGTAGTAGTAGTAGTAGTAGTAGTAGTAATAGTAGTAGTAGTAGTAGTAGTAGTAGTAGTAGTAGTAATAGTAGTAGTAGTAGTAGTAGTAGTAGTAGTAGTAGTAGTAGTAGTAGTAGTAGTAGTAGTAGTAGTAGTAGTAGTAGTAGTAGTAGTAGTAGTAGTAGTAGTAGTAATAGTAGTAGTAGTAGTAGTAGTAGTAGTAGTAGTAGTAGTAGTAGTAGTAGTAGTAGTAGTAGTAGTAGTAATAGTAGTTTTAGTTGTTGTAGTAGTTTTTTGTAGTTGTAATCGTTGTGTTAGTTGTAGTTGTAGTAATCGTAGTTGTAGTAATTTTAGTAGTTGTAGTAGTTGTAGTAGTAGTAGTAATATTAGTAGTAGTAATTTTAGTAATAGTAGCTTAGACGCAAATATTCAAGTATCAGTAATGATCAATCTGAACAGATTTTTTACTATTGACGTAGGACCAGCAACATATTTCTTGAATGTAAGACTTTTTCTGCACGGTATGCAATATATGACTTTCATTTTTACCTTGAACTCTGGAATGATTTATCTTCTTATTTTGAGCAACATCTGACACATATAGATCTCGTGACTTCTAAAGAATTTCTACTTTCACCATAAGAAATCGTAATTATTTTAAATTAAGATTTTGCATAACACGTAGCGCTGAATTAATTTAGTTTAGTTGATATTTTTAGATTAGAAGTTTTTGAAAACATAGTTACCTATATAAACAATGATGAATATTCTCATCTGTTACCATGGAAATGTTTGTAGATGGTGTGATTTGTGAATTAGGAAGGTCACTTCATAAGTATCGGAATGACTTGTAGTGAGATTCCACATTTTTTTTATCAATATAATAATACTACTAATAATAATGGCGATAATAATAACAACGTTGTGTGATCATAATATGTAATAAATGGAGTAGTATAGTCAAGGTAATTACGAAGAAAACGAATCGATGTGGATTAGGAAAGAGATAATCACAAAAAGAATTGGGATAATAGGTTTATAACATGAGTTTGAAGTGTCTGCGGATTCAGTTGTAGACCACGGTGAACATGGAGGCTGTATATACCACTTCTCGATATATTAGTTCGATTTTCAAGAGTTGGTCCAGATGACTTCAGTTATGCTGAGTACACGTAGTCTAGCTCCTATTATGTCCGTTTATATATGCTTACGTAGATGACAAACTTATAGCAAGCAAAGATTAAAATGAACATCTTACTCATCTGAAAATTCTTTTTGAGAAGCTAAACGACTATGGGTTGGCAGTCAACCCTGACAAATGTGAGTTCGAAAAACAATCCCTCACCTTTTTAGGTCACGTACTTGATAATCAAGGCATTAAACCAAATTCTGCTGAAGCACATGCTATCAAAAATCATCCTTTACCTGATTCATTCAAGAAACTACGACGTTTCCTTGGGATGATCAACATTTACAGATGTTTTGTCCCTAAATGTGCAGACGTAGCAAAACCGCTGACTGATTTACTAAGGGGACGATTTCAATCATTAGCAATGACACCACAAGCAATTCAAGCATTTGACCAGTTGAAGAGCGCTTTAAGCTCAGAGGCATTGCTCGCACGACGAAAGGTTGATACACCATTAGCAGTAATGACCTACGCTTCTAATGTAGCAGTAGGTGCTGTAATTGAGCGACGTGTCAATCAACAATGACAACCCCTTGCATTCTTCTCAAAAAAGCTAAACGCAACGCAAACAAAATATAGCACATTCGGTAGAGAACCGTTGGCTATCTACTTAGCCGTCAAACACTTTCGCTATATGTTAGAAGGCAATTCTTTCACGATATATAATGATCACAAACCTCTAACTACGTCCTTGATGCACAATCATGATAAATGCAGTCCACGCGAAATTCGTCAACTAGAATTCATTTCACAATTTGCAGCTGATATACGCTATATTAAAGGCAATGCAAATGAAGCAGCAGATGCACTATCGAGATTAAATATCAATACCTTCTCGATCCCTGATATAAATTATCAAGAAATGGCAAGGCATCAAAAGCTCTATACGGAGCTACAAAATCTTTTGCAGTCTAAGGAAACGAAATTATTATTTTACAACATCCCAATAAACAACAAGGACACCTTAGCTTGTGATACCTCATCAGGTAAAACTCGACCCTCTGTACCTTACGGTATGAGACGAAATAGTTTTGAGAAATTACACAATATATCTCATCCAGGTATAAAAGCCACTGTAAAGGTTGTCACAGATAGATTTGTATGGCCAAACATAAACAAAGACGTACGAAAATGGTCACGGGAATGCGTCGAATGCCAAAAGTCAAGAGTACATAGGCACATCATATCCCCTACAGGAATTTTTCCCGCCGCTAGCGCTAGGTTCGACCACACCCATATCGACACTGTTGGACCGTTGCCAATTTCTAATGGTTACACGCATATATTTACATATATAGATAGATTTACGAGGTGGCTCGTAGCTGTTCCGTTAAAAGACACGTCAGCATCAACAGTGGCGAAGAAGCTGGTGAAACACTGGATTACAAACTTCGGTGTCCCTACAACAGTTACGACCAACCGTGGAACGCAATTCGAACCCAAACTATTTCACCAACTTACTGATACTCTCGGTATAATGAGAATTAGAACCCCCGCTTATCCTCCGTCTGCTAATGGAATGATAGAAAGGTTCCACAGACAGTTAAAAGCCTCTTTGACGGCCGCATGAGGGGATTACAAATGGGACGTCAAGCTTCCTTTGATACTATTAGGCATTCGCTCAACCATCAAACAAGACCTCGGTTGTTGTGCTGCTGAGTTGGTTTATGGAACAACGTTACGTTTGCCTGGTGAATTTTTCGACCGTGCAACAGATATTCCAGCAGGTATAACCAACTACGTGCAACAATTAAAGCAGCAGATGGAATCCATTAGGTCGCTTAAACCAGGGACCTAAAAGGCGAAATCATTTGTGCCCAATGAACTAGACAAATGCTCACATGTATTCGTCAGAAATGATAGAGTACGACAACCGTTACAGACTACTTACGACGGCCCTTTTAAAATCATCCGAAAGGACAACAAAACGGTTACAGTGGAAAGAGCAGGTAAACATGATACTGTTAGCATCGACAGAGGAAAACCAGCATTTTTCGAAAACACTGAAAAACAGACAACTGTAAAACCGTCTAAACCTGCACCAGAGCAAGTGCCATTCAAACTACCTGCAACAAACAATACTTCAGATCGAAGTTCAGCAGCAGCAAAAGCTGCAACAAGATCAGGAAGATGAGCTCACTGGACAGATAGGTAAGTAGCAACCACCATATTTATCTAGACCAAATCCTGAGATTGCTCTCATAACACAAGAAAATCCTACTTTATATGGATTACTATTTTTTATTGGCCCCACGGATTATCAATATGCTTACATTTTAACTTTATGCAATTCGTTAATGTTAAATAAACACTTGTATAAACATGATATAAAACGTTTCAACACACAAGCTGTTGTTATTGAAACTTAACTTGTAACACCGATCGGAAGTGGAAAACCTGACAGCAGGAGGCTAAGAAGATCGAGTTGAAGAGAATATAAGGGAAAAATGAGCGTGTGGACTGGAAGAATCATGCAGAATGTGATGGACAAATAATGGAAATTCGCAAATGATGTATTCAATGCAATGGTTGTGATATTTTATCAAGGTTGCCAAATGCCCTAGTGGTATGGCCGAGAGTATACGTATGAATGTATGGAAATAGTTAACTATTTTAGCATTCCTCAGTTACTGTCTCAATCAATATTCATTGAGCCGTAGATAAAGTGGCTTTATGAAGTGAATTATCACGACAACTTGTCAATTTCCAAACCTACTTCATACAAACACCACAAACCTGTATATCGTATGTATTGAGGAATGAGATTTGCAAAGACAAATTGCGAATTCTGTCTGATTAATCGCATTCAATATAACATAACATCACGTTCTAGCATCATTTCTCTTTACATCCGATAACATTTTCAAGGTAAAATTGATTACTCCTTCTTCAATCTCAGTGTAAACAACGTGTTTGTCTAATGAACAAAACATATTTGTGTTGACCTCTTTTTTGTTTATAGAATCAACTATGATCATACTTTGTTTATCATTGATCACCTCATTGCATCTCATTAATCAATCAATAATATGGTATTCTCTATTGTGTATCGTGGGTGTCATGTGAATGTTGGTTGTTGTTTATTTGGCTGACATCAATGATGAGTGAAATTCTCATTTTACATATTATTATTACTACTTTTCTAAAAAGAAGATGAAGTGAAAACAAATGTCCTGATTGTCAATTCATAGATGGTCTTGCTCCAGCTATGAATAAACACTATAACCATTCACCAATTAATTTCAAATGATCGTAGTGGTAATTTTATCTAGAAAATTTGAATTGTTTTGTTTTTGTCGTAAAAGCGTTCCTGTCACCTTCATGTAGTATTTCCCAGTTGGGAAATATCTTAAATGCTGTTGGTTTATTGCGCCTTTCAGTGTGCTGTTTGTCAAGTCTCCGCGAGGACGGCTTTGTGCGGTATATATACGTTTGGATTCATGATTATTGTTATCGCTCGTTTCTGGCTGTTTGCAGAATGTACATACCCATTCCAAACTTGGACTTCTTCCTCTAGTTAGCGGGCTGGGGCGCATCACAATGTCTAGCTTATTGGTCTTTGGTCACTGAGTCTTTGTTCTAGTTTGCAGATTAAGTGAACTCGTAATAGCTTGAGACCTAGCAACAGAAGACTGCAGCTAACACGAAACTGCTTTGACTAGACGATTCACATAAATTCTTATTCAAGTCATTCCTGTAGCTCGTCTAAGGTTATTGCCGGTCACATATCCAAGTAAATGAGAACGGTTTAATATGAAGTCAGTATTTCCATAGTTCAGAAAGCAACGTCGCTAAAAATATGCCAAACACAATAAACAAATTATAGCATGCGAACTCTGGAGGATGTTCTTGCACTACAACTGTAATCTTGAGAGGATTGACTTTCTCTGAGTACGTTGAACCCATATTACTCAATTTCAATCAGAGAATCAGATATTGAGCTGCTAGGATTGAAACTGATCTCCAGTAATATTCAGATATTATTGTTACTAGTATTTGATCATTGGTGTCTTTGAAGCATTGATCGTATATCCTGAGACCATTGAGTAAGTAATCCAGTTGTTAGGAAACGGGTACTAGGTAAGGATGGCAAATCAATTGTAGCATAGTATCCATAGCTTGTTGGGAGATTGAAGGGGCGGTCTCTACTCCAAAAGGAAGTCCGTTGTATCGAAACAAACCCTTTTGAGTGTTTATTGTCAAGTAATGCTCACACTCATCCGCTACCGGAATCTGTAGATAAGCGTCTGATAGGTCTGATTTCGCAAAATACTAACTCCCATTCAGTTTCGCAAATAAATCCTCTGCTACCGGCAATCGGTATTGATGGGCTTCCAGTGCTTCATTTAATCCGGCTGAATAATCTGCGCATAGCCGAATACCTCCATTTGGCCTGTTGACCATCACTATTTGTGCTGCCCAATCAGAAAAGTTTACTGGCTCGATTATTCCACTTCTTTGCAGACGCACTAATTCTTGTTCAGCAATAGGTAGCGTTGCATAGGGCACCGGACGTTTTGGTCTGAATACGGGGGTGACTCTCGGTTTAAGAATCAATAGTGCTTTTACCGTTTTGTATTCCCCAACTCTTCCGTAAACACTTGACTATGTCTTTTCAATACAACATTCTTCAGGTCCTTTTCCACCGGTTTATTGGTTCTCACTGCACTGCATATGTGGTTAATGGGGTGATTCGCTAATTGTAGTGTTTCTATTAAGTCCAGACCTAGCAAATCTAGTCCTCGGTTCTCTGTGAGGTATAAAGTTCCACTCGTCTTCGCGTTTCCTTTCGAAACTGTACAATAAACCTCTCCAACAATATTTAGTTTCCCTTCAGATGCACTATGAGTTAACTGGGTTGTTGGGAGCACCTGCGGTTTTCCAATAAGCTTCCAGGTTCTTGAACTAATAAGTGTGATGTCGGAAGCAGTGTCGAGCTGTAGGCAGGCACGCTTTTTATTTATATCCAAGTTTACATACTTTCTTTAGCGGTAAATTTGTGCTCGATTATGTGATACCAATACTTTGTTAGTTAGAGCACTATATCTGTATATCTTGGAGTAGGGTTTCAGGGAATGTCGTTTATAGTTTCTTCTCCTGCAGAGGTTTGCTTTATGCCCCTTTCGATGGCATTTGCTACAGCAATGTTCTTTATATGGGCAGAATACTTTATAATGCCATCCTGCACATGACCAACATGGAGATGAGGGCTGATTGTCTGTGTGCGATAATTTTCTTGAGCAGGAATCTTTCTTTCAGCTTACAGCATGAACGTATGATAATTGGCCATTATTTTCGACCATGGAAGTGTCGTGCCTTAAGTTCACCAATCTCTGGCACTCTGTGGTTACTTCCTGTATTGTCATATTCGAACATTTTTCGATTTTAATCAAAATTCTGATACTAATATCGGCATCTTTGGGAGATTGGAGGCTGCACACAAACATGAGACACTTAAACTGATCTGTCATTGTTGATAGTGTGAAGCACTCACATTCACGGCTTACTGAACCCACATGCTTCACCCAGTCATCACCACCTGCTTTTGTCATCTTGAAATATTCATAACGAATATTAAACAAGGATGACTGTTCAGCAAAGATTTGGGACAAAATTTAAATCGTTGCATCAAGAGAAAAATCTGTTGGATTCTTTGGAAGGACAAAGTTACTGTAACGTTCATGTTCAACAGTTCCAAGTTTTCGCAAGAGTATTCTGACCTTAGCAGCGTTATCAAGTTTTTGAGGTCGCTCTTGAACAAATCTTCATATTCCTTGGACCAGGTTTCAAAAGTAATACCAGTCGAACCATCAAAATTAAATTCATGTACAGAATACATTATCTGGTTAACATGAGATTTGAAAGGGTCATCTTTAACTTCCTTTTGATTCAGGTTCATTTTTTGAGTTAGTGTCTCCATCACGCGCATCCGGAACTGTTGAAAACGTTTTTCTAGGCGTTCCAGCAAGGCTTCAAATTGTTCAAAAGTAAGTGACATATTGGTACGATAACCCCGCCGCCAGATGTTATATCTTGAAGGCTGATTTCTTGATGTACCGCGTATAACAGAGCACTAGAACACCCAAAACCCTCCCAAGTCGCAATAATAAGACAGAAGACTAATGAAGGAATATTATTCCAAACAATGTCAATCATAGTATAAAATTGTCAGGTATTTATCGTTATCATTACAGTCCTCCAATCCGCATACACGGGGTTATTAGCATTATCCAATCGGGTAGCTACACGTAGGAATCCTATAATATCCTTCCGAAAGGTGATTGGATGGAACGTCTTCGGCTCCTTCTGAGCCTCTTACAACTTCCTCAAGTTCACCGGTGGTCTGTCGTCACATCTTTGAATAACATTTTCAAACCCTAATGTTTCCGATTGCTGCTTATACTTTTACTACCTCTACCATTATGGGATTTGAATGGACAATTGTATTTGTGTGCTGATGTGGTATGTCAACTAATGTAAGTGCGAAATTCTACTTTGACACTGATTGACTGACCGACTGACTGACTGAACAGTAACTGTAGTAAAGATTGTCTAATCACATTCCCAATTTATTCGTTTGGGTTAAGAAGCCTTTGGTTCACGTAGAATCTACCACATTATCCAATAATATCGATTTAGTCTACACTCATAAATATCTAAATAAATCAATTAATCTTTCCAGAAACATTCTACAATTAACATTAAAGAGCAAAGTTAAGATGAACACTGATACGATGGATGTTATACATACCAATGCTAATTATAATGAGATGGATGATATTTTAAGAAAACACTTATTTAAAAAGAAAAAAAGACAAACTTGATCTTCATGTCATAGAAATTAATTCACCCAATTGTTTCTAACTACTTTTATCGATATAAGTAGTTAAATATGATTAAAATTTGATAGCAACCAATTTCTCACAGCATATTCATGTGATTGTTTCACAGAAAATGTAGCATAATTGGGCATATTTCGACATGAATCATCAATCTTTTCTCCATTTTCTTCAGTTTTCTTTGCAGTAGTCTGTAAAAGATTCAATTCAGTCGAAGAATTTGGAAGGATTCTTTCATCAATCATATTATCATCATCATCTCCATCATTGGGTGAAGATTTGAGTTGATTGTTAACTTGTGTTAGTAATGACTGAAGGTGATCTAACTTCTTTCGAACTTCATCTATTTCATTTTCATCAAGACTAGATATTGAATGTGGAGATTTTTCTTTTAGGATATAAGAACATCGTGGAGACAATTGACTCATCCTATTACTTATGTAAATTGAAGAAAAACAGAAAACATGTATGGTTGATAATGATCAAGAGAAAAACGAACACATATGAAGTTGCAACTGTTATTCACAACTATTAAATCAAGAAATTACAACTTCATAGATTAGAAAAAGATCAATCGTTGGATGAATATCGCCAATGATAACATCTCAGATTATAAGGATATTTGATGTCTATTTTAAACGCGCAGAAAAGATCAATCTTATCAGAGTTGAACATATGCCTTAGGTAATGGACGCCAACTAGTACAATGAGAGATGAGGTAGGATCTTGTGTAGAGCGCCTATAGTGATGTAAATAATGTCAAGAATTAGATAACTTGTGATGAAAGCTTTCCATTGGTTTATGATAGAATTGAAAATGTAAACCGTTATATTTTAACTCATAGTGATGATGAGTCTAGAATTTAGAATAGACATCTTTTAAGTCTATCGAAGCGTCCAAGTCACCCGATTGAGATACGTGCAAACCGAAAGTTCGGAAAACAACGGTTTGTCTACAATAGCGTTTCTTTATTAAATAATACACTGCTACTATGTGTAGTAGCATTCCAGAATCTTCTAGCAACCCAAAGACATTTAAAATGTTATAAAAACCTTATATTTTCTGTATTGAAATTAACTTTGGAGTAAAGTACTTCTCGCATACCTTGCACCTTCCCTCTCGTTGTTCACGTCACTGTATAGTTCAAGCTTGTGGGTTATAGAATAATTTAGGAAACGAATATAGCGTTCAATCTGCAAGACTTATCACTATTTTAATGGTTGAAATCATGAATCAATTGAAAGTAGAGCACCATGATAAACCTGAATGTATTGAAAGGCTGTTCCATCTTATTATAGGACTCTTCAGCAATGTGTATCCATGATCCTGTTCAGTGCTATCAGTTTTCCTATGGTTATATAGCTTCAATTGACTCTACTATAATATCCACAAACACGGCTTCTTATATGAATCACTACTCTTCTTCTTTAATATTGATAATCATACTGCAAAGATTTATCCTCAGAAGTACCAGAAACTTATTACATTCGGTTGAAAACATGAGTTATGTCAAATATGTTGATCAACAAATAAAAGAATAAATTGGAATGAAAGTAGATGAGGGTTTTCCTGTTCATATGTGAACATAAAATCTAAGTAAAGTAATGAGTAACACAGTTACAAAGTCATTTAACAGTGGTTTGCACAACATTAAATCAAATATGCTCAAATAAAATCACATTCTCCCCAAATATCCTGGTGCGGTTGAGAATAGTGAGATTAAACTTTCTCGAAATGCTCTCACATGACCATGTGCAGACAACCACTACCAGGGATGTTCAACTCACTGCCTTCTCGCGTAAACGTTGTTGTTTATGAAACTGAGAGGACGAGAAGCGAGTGTTTGGCGCTTTATCCGGGTTGATGGATATGGAGGCTCGACCTGGTGGAGTGGCAAAATCTTAATTCCAAACCAATGATGCACATGGGCTCCAATATCCTAAAGAAACAAATGGCATATGAATCAATTGTTGGTAACCAGCTAACATGAGATTGCATTTCATAAAGTTACTCCACTGTCTTGTAGATTAGACCTTTAGATCAAAAGCTCTGGTTGTGGCCCCCCAAGAAAACCATCTGTTTCAGTTAGGGCACTAGGAACAATATTCTATCCTTCACATAAATCATTTGTTTTATATGAAGGCATATATATCATACTACTTACAAAACCATCTATATTATATAATGATTTATTATCGATCACATTTGTTCTATACAAATAAATGTACTTTGTCAATTATCATATTTGTCAATATTTTTCATCAAGGTCGGTATTTTCATTGTTACTATGGTGATAATGACATCAAAAGAAAACTCATCATATTGCTATATTCAATATATTAATCATAGAAAGAAATTGAAATAGTTCAATGTACAATAAATCAATGCATAGTGATTATAATTCTTATGGAATAGTAGAACAAAAGAGTAAGTGTTATGACCCAATAATCATAATGAATGATAATCATTTGGGATCCATTTATGCATCTATACTATACGTATATTGTTATTGTATAATTGTTATCTAACTAAACGATTCATATTCGTCTCCCTCTTGTCATAAGCTTTACTGTGACCTATGAATGATTATTAAACTAGTTGTCATTCTTGAATTATACACTGTCTATCGATGAATACCTCCTCTTATTCACATCCACATTTGGTTAGATCTTCTGCAAATGTTATTTCCTATTTTATGGTACGATGTGGTCTGTTTGGTTTGTATATACACCCAGTATGTTTGAAATATCATGATTCATATTACAGAGGTTGAGAGTGATGTTCCGGATTGAACAGTCATGGTTAGACAGGAAGCAGGACTGATATGAACTCTAGACTAGTCGTACGGGTTTTACGCGTCATTGTTCCAGTCGATAAATTACTGTTCTCTAATTGATGATATCATTACACGATACATTCACAGGGCACAGAGTTCACATGTAATAACAGTAAGTATTCGAAGTATTTGTTGAATTGTGATTTCGGTGGTTGAAATCATGATTCAATTAAAGCTAGACTACCATGAAAAACCTGGAAGCACTGTACGGCCTTTTCGTCCCGATATGGAACTCCTCAGCAGTGCGCGCCCACGATCCCGCCCTCCGCAATATTCGAACCCAGGACCAGTCAGTCTCGCGCAAGGCCCTTGACTAACTAGACCACTGAGCCGGCTGACATCCAACGGTGTTAATGTCTAACTTCAACCATTGTGATTGTTAAAAACAGTTTCCTGTAGAGATTTTATTTTTCAACTCTTCAAACTAGAATACACATACAAACCTTACATAAGACTGAGACCAGTAAATCATTGAGGAGTCATTAATGTACAATGATAAAAAGTTTCATATTAGGTAGGATATAATGATCAGGATGGGGTTGTGGAGATTATTAAGTTATTAACTGAGATGATGAATCGATTGATGATAGATTACCATGGATAACCTAGAAGCACTGGATGGCCGTTTCATCCTATTGTGAGTCTCCTCAGCAGTGTGAATATACGATCCCTCTCGCGGGATCAAAATTTAACAATCTCATAAACCCCTAAACTGATGATATTTATTCGTTTAATAATTATCATTAATGATTATAAAACTCGAATGAATAATTTTCTCAATGAATCAATCTATATACACATACTACTATTCACGTTTCATATAAACAGTATTTTAGGTCCAAATGAAACACAATTGACTATAAAATCTTTACAAATTGAACAATCAAAACGTAACCATTTGTTATTGACTATCAATCAAAGAAAGGATCATTTATATCCAATGAAATTACATTATGATCAATTACGTGTTCAATTAATGAAAGAAAATGGTCATATTCAAGTGAATAATTTAATTATTCCTAAATCGTAAGTGATAACATTTAAAGAAACAAAACAAACTCTTGATTGATTTCACAGGTTGAAATCATGAGTCGATTGAAGTTAGATCACCATGGAAAACCTGGTAGCACTAGACGGTTGATTCATCCTTGTCTGGGACTCCTCAGCAGTGTGCATCCACAATCTCGCCTACCGCAAGATTTGGAATCAGGACCTGTTAGTCTTGCGTGAGTACGCTTAACCATTGTACCACTGAGCCGGCTGACATCCAACGGTGTTAATATCTTACATCAACCAATGCACGAAGTTGCTGTCACGCAAGAGATCGATAGGGCCTCTGTTCGAATATCGCGAGGGGTGAGATTGTGGATGCGCGTTGGTGAGGAGTCACAGACTAGGACGAAACAATCGTCCAGTGCTACCAGGTTTTCCATAGTGGTCTAACTTCAATTGATTCATGATTTCAACCAGTGAAATTTCTAAAATCTCCACATAACTCCTTCTCTATTTATTGTCAATGTTTCAGTTGATCAGTAATCTAATCTATTTGGTAATATCGATTCAAGTTTATTCATCAAAGAACATATTTTTGTATTGTGATATGTGGTACTTATATCGACATAAGTAGTATATAATGATAGTCAAGAATAGAATGTCAGACAGCAAAATGTTAAGAAGATCAAAGAGGAAATAACGGGAACAAAGAGCAATTAGTATGAAAGTGCAAGAACAATCAGGTTTAAAACGATTAAGTGATATTTACAAAAGGAATATCGCGGTAGCTCCAATCGCATTTACCAATTTACATGTACATGTCAAAGCACGTACATTGGAAGAATCGAGAGAAGATTACATGTTTGCATTTCTGAGGATGTTCCAAAGAAATTGAGGCTGAGAAGGACTGCGGCTCCAAACAGTGCAATAGCTCGATGTTCACTTGACACCAGGCATATCATCGATATCTCTTATGCTTTTTAAATTATGCTGAAGCGATCGGGATAAAAAAGAACTAAGACCGCATCTTTGTATTCAAAAAAGAGTTAGTAATAAACATATTACTACCCTGGTAATCCCTTCTGTGTGTATGTGTGTTTATTGTTTTGTTTTGTTGGGTCTTTGGTTGTTAGTTTTATTTTGTTAATGTTTAGTTTCCACTGAATTGATTCTCTTAAATTATGTGAACTCTTCAAATTCTATTCAATCATTACGTGATCCAGTTTATCAGTTTTTAGTACCATGAATCTTTCATTACCTACTAAAATGATCACAGGATTACTACCATTGAAATTACTGTAATGTCTACAAAAACACCTTTCTGATATGAATCAGCATATGCTCACTAATGACTGGTTTCAAGAGGTATTTCTTGGAGTTCTAGTGAGAAGCCGTTACCAGTGAATTTCAACCAGGTCTGTTGTGAGATAGTAACTCACTGATGACGATGGTAGATGTATCGCTGAATTTCGTGGATTGGTTGAAGTTAGACATAAAGACCTTTGTATGTCGGCTGGTTCAGTAATCTAGAGGTTAATGGTTCGCGCGCGAGACTGATAGGTCCTGGGTCAGAATCTCTCAAGGTGGGGTCATGGATGC